CAATACAGCTTTAATGTCCTTAACTGAACCATAGCTGAAATTAAGCGAACGGACGCCAAACGAGAAAGCTTCTCACTTGCTACCGCATGCATCATCCCAAAGCTGACGTTGATCGTCTGTATGTGCCCAGATCCGAAGGAGGCAGAGGATTAGTTCAACTATATCAACGCGCTCTGTTTTTGAGGGGTTTTTTGTTGTTTTGTTTTTTTTGTTTTTGTTTTTATTTTGTTTGTTTGTTTTTGTTTGTTGTGTTTTGTTTTGTTTTTTTGGTGGGGGTACGTGTTTTTGTATAAATTAGACAAAATAGTAACGCATAGACCAATAATGCTTTTCAAACTTTGATAATTGCCAGTTTATTCATTTTAATATTAATTTTTAAAAACTACGAGAATATAGATACTATCATATCCTAAATTTAAAAATCGTTTTATTTATGCATTTAACAAACATGACACAAGTCATGTAAAATATCAACATCACACCCTTTTTTTTTTAGGACTGCCACAAAAGTTTTGCCTCGAGAGATTAATTTAATCTTTTTACTTTTAATTTTCAGGAAACCAGCTTTGGAAAGCTTTGCAGATCACTTACAGTGTTAGGACAAGTTTGGTAAGTATCTTCGTTTTTATGAATTCTCTAAAACTGCTGACTAGGGTTATAGATGATTATGGCTCTCAATAACTTCCTGTTTTTTTCTATAATTCTAACTTTTTTGCCATGTTTGTTTTTGGGGGGTTTTTTGTTTTGTTTTGTTTTTGTTTTTATGACACCTGTTCTGACATTCAAACACGTCAAGTAAAATACTAAATTTTCATTTTCAATGCACATTGAAAGTGCTAAATTTCCCAAGCCTTATTTTCTCATAATATGACCAAAATTTTAAGCTGTCTCTTTCTGATTGCTTGCAAACGTTTCTTTGAAAATCCCATTCTCCTTAAAAAAACCTTTCCATTGTTCACATGCTCCGTTCATTTTATTCTCACCATTCGTCAATAGACCCACCTCTCTGTCGCTTCAGTTGTCCAGTATTCACTGCCTTATCCAGTAGTCTTTTCTTTGTTTATAAAAATATTTTTCAATCTCTTTATACTTTTCTCAGTTTCTAAAAGGCATCTTTTGCTATTCCGACGCACTTTCGAATTTATATACCACACTTCTCGTCGTTGATTACTTTACTACCAAGATAATTATATTTTTTCATCTGCTTGATTTTTATGTCCCCAATATGTAACTCTCAACTTTGATTGTCCCTTTTGCTGACGACCATATATTCTGAATCCTTACAGCTGATGGCTTCTTCTTAATTTCCTCAACTATGCTGTCTGATAATCTTTTCAGTTTTCTTTAAGAATCTGTCATCAACACAGTGACGTCTACGTAGAGTATGTTGCCAAGCTTACACCTACAATAATAAATCCAGTTAGGTCTTAAAATTATCTCATAGATAAAATAAATTGTATGAAAAAAATATATTTTTCCTTATTCTTCTTTCTGTTGGTGTTCTCTAACCAAATGTAAAGTTCCAGCTAACAAAATGACGTCGTTTTAAGTTTTCTACAACTGTACATATAAGTTACAAAAACATCTTTCTTTTTTATATAGACAGATATATATCCAAACGAGTTTAATTAAAAAGAACTAACAATGGTCTGGCTGTCTAATATTTTATTATATTCTTCCAATTTTCGAATAAGGTGTTGCGTGTTGTGCCCGAAGTTGTGGATAAACTGCCCGATGTTAATATATTTTGTTATTTGTGTTCAAGTACTTTCGACTATATGACCTTTATGTGGTTTGTGCAAAGCACATAAACGTTACCTAAAGATAGAATTGCGTATCTTGTCGCGTGAACTGTCTGAAGATTGAGCTCTATAACAAATTGGGAGCCCACATGAAAATCACGAGAATATAAGTATTTATATTTTTTATATTGGCTCTTTTTTTAAATATATATATATATATATATATATATATATATATATATATATATACTGTTTTTAAATATAAATATATATATATATGTGTGTGTGTGTGTGTGTGTGTGTGTGTGTGTGTGTGTGTGTGTGTATATATATATATATATTTCTTTATCTGATGACCCGGCGTCCTTTAAAAAGGCTCTGTGAAATAAATTATTATAATGGAACCTTAAATTGGTCTGCTTTTCTTTTATATATATATATATATATATATATATATATATATATATATATATATATATATATATATAAGTTCATCAATAAAGTTATTATTAGTTGAAAGAAATCTTTTGGATCGACGAAAGGCATGATTTTTTTCTTTCATCTTGACATTCAATTACATACATACATACATACATACATACATACATACATAGATATGAACTGACTGAGATAGGTATGAACAGACTGAGATATATATGAACAGACTGACATAGATATGAACAGACTGAGACAGATAGATATGAACAGTGATAGATAGATAGATAGATAGATAGATAGATAGATAGATAGATAGATAGATAGATAGATAGATAAGGTAAAGGGAACAAAAGGTAGCCATGCTGAAACTAACCCCAAAATTCTAGCATTCCTATTGATATTATTAAAAAAATTCCAATTTTCCACTGGATAATTTTCTTTTCAAATTGCATTTACGGATATTAAACCTTGAAAGATGAAATGAACGATAACACTGATGAGAGGAATATATTAATAACAGAAAAGAGTTGCAATGACCTGAAAAAGAATGATTTACCAAAAACCGCCAGAATAATGGACGTGAAATTAGAACCAATAGATGTAGAGTAATCAAAACGTATGGATTTCTATATCGATAATAACTTAAATAGGTATCTCGCGATCGTTTTTGTATTATCGAAAATAGAAAAGTCGGGATTTATTAGTATTTGCAGTCATCTAGGTTGCCTGAGATTCTGCAATAAAGACTTTCTGTTGTTCCTCGCATGTTTTCTGCTGTGAATACCATGGACTGAACATGTGAGTAACGAGGAAGATTTAAGAAAATGCGAGGCAAAAAGAACGCTCGTTATTAGAATCAAAAAAGAAACAGTTGAAACTTCAAGGACATGGATTATTTTTGTAGATGTGAATATTTCTCATGACATTGTTTTTGTTCTCTACTGTTGTACTGTTTAGTATTTTATGACCACTTGACCTAATAAAAGTATTAAAAAACAAAAGGCATGAAAATAGTGTTACTTTAGTCACTCATCCATATTGTCTTACTGAAAAATCCATCGTTATTGGACTTCCTTGATGCGTATTCTGGAGATTAAGTATAAGGTCTATATACCAATGGCCGGAAAAAATACCCATTTTCGATTGTTAATTATGGGCCAACGATGAGAGAACAAGGCTTCATTTTCGATTCCATTCATGATTGTAGTATGGGGAATGTTGTAACCTGGAAAGGGTTACTAGATAAGGAATAACCAAAATGAAGATAGGAAATTAAATGGTAATCATTATAACATAAATAAAAGACAATACTAGCCAGCATCATGAAGTAGGTAAACCACTGCTAGTGATGGACTACTTATAAAGCATATTACCCCCTATTTCAATAGTATCTAACGTATTTATGAGGATTGGGACATAATCATTAGTGGCTCTTAGGTACGGTATATAACAGGGAACAATAAAAAAAAGGATTTTTTATTTACTTATAGTGCCACAACATTTTTTTTATTTACCTACAGTGCCACAACATTTTTTTTCTTCGAGATATTTCCCACATGCCAAAAGTTACTCAAATTGTTGTATAGCACAAAAATGGTTAATTTCTAGGTGTTTCTTGATATCATTTTTGGATTCCTCGCCCTCAAAAACTTTCCTGTGCAAGTTTTCATGGCTCTAGCATGTTTGGATAGAATTTTATTAAAGAAAAAAATAAATTTTGTAATACCGCGTTTTTCTCGCGAATCTCGTTTCACGCGATATCTTAAAAATGGCATATTTTCTGAACCGCTTGGACATAACGGCTCAAATTTTCAGGATTGTCTTGTTTTAATGATACCTTATACTGGTTAAATTTTGCAGAAAATCTGTGAGGTAAGGATGACATGGTCCAGATGATTTGATAT